ACTACTCAGCTACAAAAAAAAATGGTTGTGTCTGTTTGAACTAAAGAATAGCAATGTTGGCTACAACCTCTCCAGGTTCACATTCAGTCCTGTAGCAGTAATCTTGTAGGACCCCCTCCTCCTACCTCATCTCCACTCAGTGGGGATTCCACCTCTTGGTACTGACCCAGACTGACCCTACCATTTCATCTCTGCCTCTCCAGACTTATCTTTTGTCCTATATAGCCTGCCTGCAAGAGCCCCTTCTCCCCACATGCCTCCATTCCCTGGGAACTCCCTCTTGGTATTGACCCAATCCTCTCCCCCAGCTCTTTCCTACAGCCCCTCCTATCTCATTTCCTTTCTGTGACTCACCAACTTGCTGAAGCATTCTCTATCAAGGACCACACAGCTACCATATTTGCCTAGGATCCAGAGAAGGCAACAACAACAGAAGACCAGAATACCCAATCAACAATAGCAAGACCAGGCATCAACACCAAGAAACACCTCAAACAAAACTCAAGATACCTAGACCTGAATGCAAAAGCACAAGCATGAATAGCAAAGACAAGATACCTCCACCAGCAACAGTAACCTTATTACAACAGGCCTTGCTTGAAAGATGCAATATAGCTGACGTACAAGACAAAATTGCAGTTATGAATATGTTCAAGGAGCTTAGTGGGATATGAATAAATTCCTTAATGAAGTCTGTGAGAACACAGACAGTTGAATAGAAGAATGAAATCAATCCAAGACATGAGAGTAGAATTTAACAAAGAAATACAATCACTAAAGAAAACCAAACTGAAATAAAACAAAAGAAAATTTTAGGATTGTAAACAAAAACCCCAGAGGTAAACTTACCAACTGTGGTGGTTTGAATAAGAATGGCCTCCAGAGGTTCATATATTTGACTGTTTGGCTATTAGGGGAATGGCTCTACTTGAGGGGGATTAGGAGGTGTGGCTTCACTGGAGGAATTGTGTCACTGGGGGTGGATGCTGGGGTATTAAAAGCCCAAGCCAGTCCCAGTACTTGCTCTCTCTTCCTGCTTCCCTTGAATTGAGATGTAGGACTCTCAGCTACCATGTCTACCTGAGTGCTGCCATGCTCCCCACTATGAAGATAAACTGAAACTGTAAGCAAGCCCCAATTAAATGCTTTCCTTTATAAGAGCTGTCATAGTCTTGGTGTCTCTTCACAGCAATGAAACATTGACTAAGACACCAACAAAGTACAAGACATAAAAGATAAAATCTTGGATTAGAAGACATACAGAGGATATTGAGAGCTCAGTCAAATAAAATGGTTGAGGAGTTTCCATAGGGGTACACTTCCAGTTTATCAGGGAGTTGTGTAGTTTGGCATCATTCTAGAAACCTATGCAAGGGGGGAAGGGGTTGTAGCCCAGTTCAGAGTAGAAAAAACTAGAACAAAATGGAATTCTTGAGGTTAACTAGAATCTAACACTGTACGGGAAAAAGAACAAGTAACATATAAAAGCAGACCTATTAGAATAACAACTGACTTCTCAATGGAAACTCTAAAAGTCAGAAGGACCTGTAAAGGTGTTCTACAAATTCTGAGACCTCAGATGCCAGCCAAGACTACTGTACCCAGCAAAACTGTCACAATTTACAAAGGAAGAAAGAGATTTTACAATAAAACCAAATATAAGCAGTATCTACCTACCAGTCCAGCTCTACAGACAACACTAAAAGGAATTTCGGTCTGAAGAGGATAACAACACCCAAGAAGACAGAATTGATGGATGCCAGGACAGAAATAAAAACAGGGAGAAAAACACATACCTTAACAACAAAATACCAGGAATCAATAAACACTACTCATTGATAATACCACAATATTAATGGTCTCAATTCCCCAAACAAAAGACACAGATTACCAAACTGTATTAGAAAAAAGGATTAATCTTTCTGCTATATACAAGAAATACACCTCCCTTAACATCAAGGATAGACATCATCTTGGGGATTAAGGATGGACAAAGATATTCCAAGTAAATGGACCCAAAAAAGAAGCAGATGTAGCCATTTTAACAGAAAAAAATAGACTGCAAACAAAAACTAATCACAAGAGATAGAGAAGGATACTACATACTCAATAATTGAAAAAATCTACCAAGAGAATAATGTGATTATAAACATGTATACACTAAACTCAGGGTACCCAAATTCATAGAAGAAACACTATTACAGATTAAATTACATATAGCCCCTCATATGCTGATAGTGGGAGACTTGCATACCCCACTATCAAGACAAAAACTAAACAGAAAAATGCTGAAGATAACTGATATCATAAATCAAATAAACCTAACAGACATTACAGAACATTTCACCCAACACAAAAGAATATGACTTCTTTTCAACACCTCATGGAACTTTCTTCAAAATTGACCACATACTTGAACATAAAGCAAGTCTCACCATATATAAGAAACTTGAAATAACACCCTGCTTCCTATCTGAGCACCATGGATTACAGTTGGGTGTCAACAATAGAAAGTATGAAAATAGGCCAAGACAGAAATTAGGATGGAAATAAAATATTTAAATTAAATCAAAATGAAAATACAACATACCTATGCCTATGAGACACAGGGAAGGCATTTCTAAAAGCAAGTTTAGAGGTCTAAGTGTCTGCATTAAAAAATTAGGGAGATCTCATATTAGTAACTTAGTAATACATCTGGAATATCTAGAACAACAAGAATAAATAACACCCAAAAGGTATAGATGGAAAGAAATATTCAAACTTGGGGAGGAAATCAATTAAATAAATACCATACAAAGAGTCAATGAAATGAAGGGTAGACTCTGATAAAATCAATAAAATTGACAAACCCTTAGCCAAATTAGCTAAAAGACAGAGAGAGAAGATCTAAATTAATAAAATTAGAGATGAAAATGGCTACATTACAACAGACATGGAAGAAATCCAGAGATTTGTACGAATATATTTTTAAAATCTTTACTCCACCAAACTGGAAAACCTGGAAAAAACTGGGGAATTTATTGATATATATAGCCTAACAAGGTTAAAGCAAGATCACATAAGCAATTTAAACAGACACATAACCTCTAGTGAAACAGAAGCAATAATTAAAAGTCTCAAATTCCCCAAAATGCCCAAGGCCAGATTGATTCATCACAGAATTCTACCAGACCTTCAAAGATTAATTAACTCCAATACTCTTCAATTTATTCTACAAAAAAATAAACTGAAGGAATGTTGTGTAATCTTTCTATTAGGCCACTATTATGCTGATAACAAAATCACTCAAAGACCCAACCAAAAAAAAAAATTATAGAGCACACTATCCCTTGTGATATAGATGCAACAATTCTCCATGAAAAAAAATCCAAACTGAATCCAAAAACATGTCAAAAGGATTATACACCCTGGGCTTCATTCCAGGAGGGATAGTTTAGCATACCTAATCAATAAACACAATCCACTATATAAACAGACTGAAAGATAAAAAATATATCATTATCTCAATAGATGCAGAAAAGGCCTTTTACAAAAATCCAACATCCCTCCATGACAAAGTCCTAAAGACACTAGAGATGCAAAGGATATACAAAGAAGATAATAAAGACTATTTACAGCAAAACCCACAGGCAACATCAATCTAAACAGAAACACAAAGCATTTCCACTAAAACAGGAACAAGACAAGATTGTCACCATCTACTAATCTACTCAATATAGTACTTGAAATCTTAACTAGAGAAATAAGACAAATTGGAGGAGATCAAGGGAATACAAATTGGAAAGAAAGAAGTCAAAGTATCTTTATCTCCAGATTATATGATTTTATATATTTAAAAACTCCACCAGGAAATTTCTACATCTGTTAAATACTTTCAGCAAAGTAGCAGGCTACAGAGTTAACAGAGAAAACTCAGTAGCTTTCTTTATTCAAATAACAAACTGAAAAACAGATCAGAGAAACAGCATACTTTATAGCCTCAAAAACATAAACATCTTGGGATAACATTAATGAAACAAGTAGCAGACTTGTATAATAAAAACTTTAGGACATTGAATAAAGAAATTGAATATATCACAATATAGAAAGATCTCTCATGTTCATGGATTGGTAAGATTAATATTGTGAAAATGGCCATTCTACCAAAAGCATTCTACAGATTCAATACAATCTCCACCACGATTACAGTACAGTTCTTCACGGAAATTAAACAATTTTCATCTTTATATAAACACACACACACAAGATACCAAAGACCAAAGACAATCTTGAATAAATAAAATAATGTCTAGAGGTATTACAATTCCATATCTTAAGTTGTATTTCAAAGCTATAAGTAATAAAATAACATGGTATTGGGACAAAAACAGACATGTTGATAAATGGAATCAAAGACCATGCACCTATAAACATCTGCTTTTTGACAAAGAAGCCAAAAAGGCACACTGAACAAAAAACAGAATCTTCAGCAAATAATTCTAGTCAAACTGGATGGCTGCATGTAGAAAAATGCAAATAAATCTGCATTCATCACCCTGAACAAAACTTGACTCCAAATGGATCAAGGACCTAAACATAAGACCAGACACACTGAATATGACAAGAAATAAAGTGGGAAATAGGCTTGAAGTCACTTGCACAGGGAAGGTCTTTCTGAACATGATAGTGATAGCACAGACATTGAGATCAATAACTAATAAATGGAACCTCATGAAGGTAAAAATCTCCGCATGCCAAATATTGAACATATCATTTGGGAAAAGCTGAAGGCTACAGAAATGGAAAGGGTCTTTACAAATTATATACCTGATAGGTCAGAGGAGTGATGGAAAGGGAAGGCTGTATTAGTGAGTCCAGAAATGATGTACATAAAAACTGATGGTTGAAAGCAAGCACTACATGCCCTACTTGCAAATGGGGAACCTCTCACATTTGACTGTGTAAATTTAAAAAAAAAAGTAAAATAACAATGCTGGGGATTAAACATAAGCACTCACCTTGTAAAAACTCCTCCTTGAAAGCAATGAAGTAGAAGAAAATAGTGCTCATTTTCTTGTCCCGTTTTCTTTAGATCATCTTTCAACCATGAATAGCTAAAACACTGGACTATGAGTGTTCCACAAAGCACAAAGCTTAATGTTAAAACACCAAAAACATATTGTCCATTGTGGAAATACCTAACAGATAAGAGGATGTCTGCAACTAAATCAGTTACATAGATTATAATGCCTAAAACTGACATTGTGAAATTGCATTTGGTATATTTCATTATGAATGACTAAGACTCTTCGCTACTCTTTTTTCAGATACAAAAATGGGGGAAATGCCAGAATGAATATTAGTGTATCCTGTGACTTAGCACTGAATTTTAATTTCTATTCTCTGAGTCTACTTAGAAAAAAGAATATGGGAATAGAGTTCAGGGACATAGTGTTTATCTGGCACTCATGAAGTCCTATATTCAGTCCCTAATGACAAAGATAAATAAATGCATATTACGAAATTGGAATGCTAAAACAAAAGTAAATAATTTTAACTTTCTTTAAAAAAAAATCTCTAAGCCAGGCGGTGGTGGTGCACGCCTTTAATCCCAACACTCGGGACGTAGAGGCAGGCGGATCGCTGTGAGTTCAAGGCCGGGCTGGACCGACAGCCTCCAAAACAACACAAACCCTGTCTCGTAAAAACAAAAAAACAAAAAACAAAAAAAAAATCTCTAATCCAGATCCAGTGATACAAGAAGGTCTTTCCATATCTTCTCTTTTACCATGTTCTTCATTACAGATAGCAATGTCTAAAACAAAACAAAAACACATTTCTAACTCTTAACGATAAAGACTGGCCCATGATTTTATGATCCTATGTTTCTAAATGAAGCATATTTGCTTGAAATATGCTTTTTATATTTAAAAAAGTCAAGTCTCAAAAATATAGTTACTAGTAGATAATGTCATCTCAAACTCAAGTACTTATCATTTAAAGCTATGTTTTCTCACAAAGGTATTCATTATAGGACCATTTGTACTGGCAAAAATGCAAACTACCTAAATGCTACCTGATCCCAAATCACACTACAAAGCCATAGTAGCACAAAAACACAGTTAGCACAAAAACATACATGAATACCAATACATCAGACTAGAGGACCCAAAAATAAGCCCATACAGCCACAGCAATCAGATCCATCATGAGTGTCAAAACCATACATGAGGGAAAAGACAGCCTAATCAAGAAATGGTGCTAGGATGTCTGAATATCCACACATAGGAGAATGAAATTAGATTCCTATCTCTCACTTTGTACAAAAATCAATTCAAATATATCAAAGACCTTAATATGAGACTTGAAACTTTGAAATTAATAGAACTTAAGAGGAAAAATCAAAACATAGGTATAGGTAAGGACTTTCTGAAAAGGACTCCAAAGGCTTAGGAAATAAACTAAAAAGTATCTTCACAGAAAAGGACAGATCACAGGAGTGATACAGCTTGGAGAATGACATAAAAAACTTTGGCACTTATTAGGGATTAGTACCTAGACTCTATTAAAAAATAGAAAAGGCAAACATTAAAACAAATTTTCTAGTTCGAGGCCAGCCTGGTCTACAGAGCAAGTTCCAGGATAGCCTCCAAAACAATACAGAGAAATCCTGTCTCGAAAAACAAAACAAAACAAAATTATGTAACGAATGGGCGAATGAATTTACCTGATAGTTCTTAAAAGAATGAATAAAACTACTCAATAAACACATTCAAAATGTTTAATATCCATAGCTGTTATAGAAACATTCATCAATACTACATTGACAGGATAGAGAGATAATTCAGCCATCAAGAGCATGCATTACTGCTCCAGCAGAGGAACTGAGGTTGATTCACAACACCCACCATCTATTAGTATTCAGGCATCTGTACTGGCCTGCCTTTGGAGTTCTGACAGGATATACCCTCAGCTGCTGCCACTAAGAGCATCACCTGTGCCTGTTCACTATGTTCCCTTTTAAAAGGGCCCTGCTCACCTCCCATCCCTCTCTCTTTCTCTATCTTTCTCTCCCACTCTCTGTTCGTCCATACACACCCCTCTTTCCTCTCTCCTGCTGCTCCTGGCCCCAGAGACTGGTCTCCCCCGCTCCCTTTTCCCCATTTTATGATACTTATCCCCTAATAAAAACACCTCCACTTGAACTCTGTTACATGGTGTCTTTCTCTCAGATACCACTGTTTTTAAATTACAACAGAAGTTCCCAACACCCATATCAGCAAGTGACTACTGTTTTTTAACCTTAGTTCCAATGGATCTGATATCTTCTTCTGGCTCCAGGGTCACTAACTCAGATACTCAGATATATGCAAACCTTACACACACACACACACACACACACACACACACACACACACTTAAAAATAAAGAACAAGTCTTAAATAAACAACTCAACTGAATTTAGATTCTCCACAACTCAATCCAAATGACAAATCATCAAATATTCCAGCAACAAATAATACCAGTGAGGATGTGGCATAAAAGGAACCCTCATATACTATTAGTGTGGATATAAATTTCTGTAGTCACTATGGAAATCAGTTTGCCAGTTCCTCATGAAGGTATCAGCATAGATGTCTGTCAACAAGTGAATGGATGAAGAAAATGAGGAATAAATATACAATAAAGCATTATTCAGTCATTTGCAAAAAAAATATTGGAGCTGAAGATTATCGTGTTAAATAAAAGAAGCCTCAGGAAGGCAAACATGTTTTCTCTCATATGCAGAATATAGACTTTTAGAAAGTACTCAAAAGCAAAAGGAGTACTATTTGGAAAGAGAAAAGAACAGTAGACAAGATGAAGAGGGAAATGGAAGCAGTTATTGGGAAGTGAATTAGATTGATGTACATGTTATACATGTAATGGGTGATGTCCTTCTGTATTTATGTTTCTCTTATTGGTTGATGAATAAAACACTGATTGTCCAATAGCCAGGCAGGAAGATAGGTAGGGCTACCAGACTAGGAGAAGGCTGGAGGGAGAAAGGCAGAGAGAGGCCTCAAGGAGATGCCATGCTGCCTAAGGAGTAACATGCTGAATTATGTGTAAGCCACAGCCTCGTGGCAATACATAGATTAGTAGAAATGGGTTCATAATTAGGACAGAGATAACCAGTAAGACGCCTAAGACATCAGCCAACAGTTTTATAATTAATGTAGCCTCTGTGTGTTTATTTGTAGCTAATCAGCTATAAGACCAGGCTAGAAAGAAACTCTAGCTACATGCATAAGAATATCACAAGGGCAGGGTGGTGGTGATACATGCCTTTAATCCCAGCACTTGGGAAGCAGAGGCAGGTGGATCTCTGTGAGTTCAAGGTCAGTCTGGTCTACAGGGTTCATTCCAGACAACCAGGGCTGTTACACAGAGAAACCCTGTCTTGAAAAACAAAAAAAAAGTCATTTCTTTATAATATAATAAAAATAAGACTATTTAACAGCCGGGTGTTAGTGACACATGCCTTTAATCCCAGCACTCGGGAGGCATAGGCAGGTGGATCTCTGTGAGTTCAAGGCCAGCCTGGTCTACAGAGCAAGTTCCAGGACAGCCTCCAAAACAATACAGAGAAACCCTGTCTCGAAAAACAAACAAAAAAATACATATAACAACAGTACAATAGCTATGAAAATTCTTAATATGAATTTGAACCATAAATTCCATGCAGGATTTATATCTATAAATAGGCACAGAGAGATGCACTCTTTTATAATAATAAGAACTGAAAACTACCTAAATGAGAAGCCTACTTCAATAAATTATTATACATATTGATAGCCAAAGGATGCAACCTTAAAAATATTAAGTAAGTTCATTTGAGACGATCTCAGAAGACCTCTAAGATGTACCTAGTGAACAAAACAAAAGCTAAATGATATTATGGTTTTTAACCATATATGGAGAGAGAAAGGAAGTGAGAATGGGGAGAAAACACAACTTCAGTCACTGACATTTAGGCTTCTGTGTTGCTTGAGTTTTTACCATACACACATATACTTGTGTGCTATTTTAAGAGTAAAACAAGAGTAAACAACACGAGTAATTTGAGTTACTAGAGAAAATGTTTATCCTACCTGTGAGCTAACACTCACTTAGGACAAGGTGCCCTACACTGAGCTATATATCGTGAAATGAGCAAATTCAGTTCTTTCAGCAAATGCAGAGTGTAGACACTGTTATGATCCCTACTGTTTAATGTTCTGGGTGCAGTCTGATAACAAGACTTACCTGATGCAAGCATTTTTGTTTTGTTTTGTTTTTCCTAATTGCCAGTAGTTCACCAAACAAGCAAGCAAACCCAGATTTCTGTCTGCTACACTTTGCCTCAGATTTGAGAATACTGTATTCTATGAACTGTAACATTCTTACAACATATATATCCAAGTTTGCTCCTCTTACAGTAGCTATGGCTTAGTTATAGAAAACAAAGATTTTGAACATATTCCTGCCTTCATTCCCAAAAATCTCTTTGGATTTTGCTGTGTTCCATTGTTTGATTTTAAAAATTACTCTTAGAGTTTTGTTTTAAAAAAATAGATACATGACTTTTGGCTTGGGACTAGGGCAAAAGTACTAAAATGCCACTGAACACATTTCTGCCATTTTTTTTACTATGTATCTATGCAAAATGGGATTCTCAGCACTGACAATTATAAAATATCTATAACTATAAAACCTTGAAGAGGATCTTTATCCTGTAGTGCCAAATATTCAGCCAAGATTGAGTTCCACATGTAAAAAAAAAAAAACAAGCACACTCATCTCATCATTATGGAAATTTTCTTTCATCTTTAGTAAAGTGTAACATTATATGTCTACTAAAAAATTATAGTAAAATAAATTTTCTCTATCATTTACTGTCAATAATGTTTGATCTGATACTGATTTTTGTTTGCCTAGATATATAAAACTGCATAAAAATTTCATGGTTCATGAATGAAAAGAGTTAAGCATTGCTTTATTGAGTTGTCCTGCAGGTTAAAAAAAGAAAACCCACACAGCACATAGAACCCCCTAGAAAAGTACTTGGCACACAGGACTCAAGAAATGGTGGTCATTATTTGTTGTGGGCCTGATTGTCTGTGGAAGCATCTGTACTTCCCAAACTCTGACTTAGTTTTCTTTAATGAGAACTGAAAAGGTTCTTTTTCATGGTGTGAACTCAGAGCTTTGAAACACAAAGGAAATATGATGAGAAAAAAATTAAATGTCAACTGTGGTTTTATCTGAGGAATAAATGACATTTCAGAAAATTGATTTTCTTCATCAGTCTTTACCATATGCTATAAATTAAACGTTTTCCCCCTCAAAATTTACATATTGAATCCCCAATTCCCAAATATGGCCTATTGGGAGATGAGAACTTTAAGGAGACTGATGAGTATAACCACTCTCTGCAGGGCTGGCGGGCCATGCAGTTCAGTGTGGAGAAAACTTGCCTAGCATGAGGCCCAGGGTTTGATCCTCCACGCCTCAAAATGAGGTGGTAAGAAAGGGAGAGGGGCCGGGGAAGGAAAAGACGGCAGAGAAAAGGCTTTGTAAGGATAGAGGCTAAAGCAAG